CGATACAAAATCACAACCCTACCAACTGAGCTATCGCACTGCTCGGCAAAAGCTGGAAACAAATACATATATGTGCCTGCGTATAATAATAAAAGTATCGTAGAGGGCGATAAACAGCCATGTGTAATGGTGTGGTTTTGGGAAACGAAAATTCGCTCCGGCGACCCCGCTCTGGAAATTTGCTAGTCCTTTTCACGAGTGGCCTCTTTTTTTACGAGGGCCCCCAAGTACTTGATTTTACGGAGACTGGAAGAAACCTGTCTTCCGTTCAACACGGATGCTACATACAACCCCTCCATTCGCCCAGCCCTATGGTGAGAACACTGGCTGCGCTGCTGACGGTTGCCCTCTTTGAAATGGGCTTGCTCTAAAAAAAAAAAAAAAAAAAAAACACCTTAAAAAATTCCAAACAAACAAACAAACAGCAAGAAACGATTTCAAGAACAGGCAGTCGCAAATACTGCTCATGTTCTTTTTCATATAAGTATTCTAGGAAGAGAAACAGGACAGACATTACCTGCTTTCTCTTCCCATAATGCTTTTGTGCGAAATCATTAGAGTGATATTTGGGACAAGATCTTTTAAACGACGCCATTTTCTTAGTACAACAATCCCGGTTAATGACACAGTTTAGTGCCTTTACCTCAATTTTGAAATTTAAGATTATCAAGCCGGTACAAGTGTAGTTCAGGACACCCCTATTTTTTGTTTACTGGTTCCGTTAAGTAATATGGACTGGCAATAAGTTTTGCACCCTCAGGCAGTAGATTGCTGTTTAGAATCATTTGAGGCCTTTCATAACTTCATATAGGACTTTGGAAGAGAAAATGTGATAAACAGCCACAGACGTGCGAACCACAGGACACTGTACGCAGTCTTTTCATAATTTGAAAATGTGGGACTCTCAATACTGTTTATGAGCGTCCCAAAACTTAAGATATGAATGAAAACATGCAACACAAGAAAATAGACTGGCCTCTGAAACAACCAGTCCAACAACTCTTCAGTGCTGCATCAATCAACTGTCAGTTGACTGTGCCAAAAGAAATATCTAGGATGTCGGTACTACTAGGTCACTATTTTTACGCATATCTCCATAGTGAGGTGGAAAAAATGTTGCAACCTGACGCCACGTCTGCGGTTGTGTACAAGGTCTATGGAGAGTGAAGATTTTTTTAAAAGTATTTCTTAACAAAAATGGAAATGTTTCTTAGTCCAAGATTCATGTCTTATCATCATTTTTGCAATGACTGGCCTTCATTTAGATGATGTATGAAGAAAAAATATGGCGTCAGGTTGCAACATTCTGGGCTAACGTACGTATAGCAACATGTAAAATTACCTCAATAACCCTGGCTCGATACGTCTGTATATGGCGTCATTCCAATGCCGTTGTCGACCTTTAAAACTCTCATTTGGCTGATGTTGTTCAACTTGCAATGGTCTGCGGGGAAAAAACACTTCCCCGTGCGTACAACGCACGACTTGAAAAGATGGCGGTAATATCCCACAATGCTTTGGGAAGTCTGCGTTGTCACGGGAGGGCGCCCTTATGGAATGACAGTACGGAGTGATTGAAATCTATTCAGGTTTTTTCTTTGCCCAAGCAATTGAAAAATTTGAACACACAAACAATATTTAGATAAATTTATGTTCCTTGCTTTTCATAACTAAGCAAAACTCATCTAGGAACAAAAAATACTTCCTTATGTGTAAAAATGTTTTCCTTGTACAAGGAAAAATTGCGTAGCCCAGTTTCTTGATGAGAAATTACAACTTCCAAGGTTCATTTCAAGGATCATTTATTTTATCATTTAGCAAAAATAAAGTAAAACATATACGCTGATCAATATTTCCTTCTTCATGTGCTTCAGTTTAGATTGTAGCTTCTTTATTCTCGTGGTTTTGGTTAATATGTTACTATTGCATATATTGGTCTTGTATTCCAGTTTCTTTTTAAATGTCAAGTACAATGCAATACAACAGATGCGACTGACACAAAATGAACACACTAGAAACGACTGTGAGATATACAAATATAATGCAACCAGAATGCAGTCCATACGTGTACTCCATAATAATAATAATAATACTGAACATTTATATAGCGCTCTAACTGTCATAGAAAGTGCCACAGCACTTTACACAAAAATTGACGAAAATCAAAAAAAAAAACCAGTAAACAGAACAAGAAATAAACCACATGCAAAATACATGAGTAAGCAATAACATATCAATTAAACAGATCAGTTAAACAGATCAATTAAACAGATGGGTTTTCAGGGATTGTTTTGATGTTGCTAGTGAGCTAGTTTACTCCATCAGGTTATTACTTGCAAAACTGGATAATTTTCTTGTCATTTTTAAGGGTACATTATGTACCCTTAAAAATGACAAGAAAATTAAGTACTGTACATATTTAAGTGAAATAACGGATATAATTAAAAAACATGTAAATCTGGTCTTGATTAATTTTATACTCTTTTGTGAAATTGTCTTCCAACGATTCTCGTAAATGAAATTAAACTGTCATTTTTGCCTCTGCAACACATAGACGGCATTTCACATCACACTTGATTTACCTCCAAATATGTCAGAAGATTCTTTATCCACATTTTGGTAGTCTTTATTAGGCTCAGAACGGATATAATCCTGATACAGTTGTGCATGGAACCCATCCCCTTCAACAGTTATTACTTCGCTTGCTGTTAATGCTGGTCCTTACACCAATGTTAGCATCAAAGTTAATACAAACAATAACATTAAAAAAAAATTAAAAAAAATAAATAAATACAATTGTATTTGTCTTTTGACAGTATTATTACCGGTACCGTTCTTGATGGCTGTAGTACTTCTAGAAGTACTCAGCTGTCAACGTTTGCAAGATTTTTACACAAATCTCATAAATTGCAGCCAACCATCTCTATAAAAATATAATTCTTTATACAAAACTGCACATGTATTTTCCATCTGTGGTTGGATCAATCCCAAAACTACTCAATAGATACTCACTTTTTTAAACATTATACATAAAATTGTTGTGATGCTAACAATTTTCAACTTGTGAAGGAAATGAACCAAACCACCCATACAGCCTCAGGGTTTGATAAGAAATCAACGAATACCATAATTATCAGTGATATTTTCTTGCACACACGTACAGATTCAAAGTCTATCATAATTTTGTTTGCCAATTCAAAATGTATGTAGATACACAATCGGCAAATCATATACACTCCCGGTCAGATTCGACCCGAATCCGGGTCAGATTTGCCCTGACGCTTTTCTGGGTCAAAATGACACTTCCCAGCTAGGGCCACTTATCGTCATTTTGACATGGAAATTGTCGTTTTGATAAGGAAAAGTATCATTTCTACAAGAGAAAATGTCATTTTGACCCAGAAGTGTGTCACGTCGAATCTGACCCTGATTCCTCGTCGAATCAGACCGGGGACTTATAAGAGTGTCAGTTTGACTTTGATGACAAACCACTCTGTCGTACGTTAGAGACTGAACAGCTAATTGTCTTACACACAGCGTGATTCTGCTGACGATCTGAATCAAGAATGTGTTACGATGTTTATGTCTGAATTTCAAACAGGCATCCTACAACGACACCTTTTATTGATCTGTTTATTCTTGGAATTTGCACAAGTCTCCGATTTCAGTATTGATTATTTTTTTAGTAGAACACGAGGTTTGACAGTTTGCGAACAAAACTGTTATTTCTGAAAAAAAACTATTTTTACGGCAAACGCGGCCAAGATCCACACGTCCAAGTTTCAATTACGTAATTATGTTCGGCATAGTCAAACATAATCCTTTCTGCTGTTACTTTTTAATATCTTCTTGTAAAAGATGTTGCTTCCTATAGAACGCAACAATTATACGTGTATGACGAGTTATATGCAAAGGGTGCTCTCTAAATTCCAAAGAGTGAAAATTTCACTCGGACTGACGTTCGGAAATATGTTCACCCTATTAGACTGAATTTCTGATTGTTCGAGTGAATTGAAATATAAGTGGATCTGCAGCTGGGATGGGAATGATATGCATGACAAGTTTGTTCAATCTGACAAAGATTGAAGTTGACTATGCGTTATATCCAATCAGAGAAGTAATTGGAATCACGTGGTGGCACTATGATCCAATCACGAGTGCAAGTTTGGATCACGTGGGACGTAATATTTTCGGCGGGAACAACGGGAGCAAACGACATCCGCATACATGGTTGTTTAGCGCCCTCTACGATACTTTTGTGATACGCACGCAGATATATGATTCTTATTTTCTCAATGTCTTGGCGAGCAGTGCGGTAGGCGTAATTTTTATTCCTAGGAGGGTTAGGGGCAATGTTATGAATAATTCATGTTTATCCATGAGAACGGACAATGACATCAACAGCATTGTTGTTAGTTACTCGACTAGTTACAATACATTAAAGCATTTTAAAGAACGGTTGTCGTCGAGCTACCACACAGTAGCCTGTGGATAGCGAGATGAGCTATGGATACAAAGATCCCTGGTTCGAATCCACGTCGTCGCTGCTCATTTTCATCAGCTATTTTTCTTCTCCAAATTTATCACTGAGATAATTTTAAATTAAGGGGAAAATAGAACGAGAACCTAAGCCTTGCAATGATTCAAAGGAAAAACTGAATTATTCATGACATTGCCCCTAACCCTCCTAGGAAAAAATATACGCGTGCGGTAGCTCAGTCGATACAGAGTCGTGATTTTACACCGCGAGGTTGCGGGTTCGAATCTCGGTTTTGTACCCGACATTTTCAACATAGACCCGGCTTTTTGAGTGAATTTCTCAGTATTAAAATCACTCTCAAATCGGAGTGGCCAAAAAGTGGTTTTCCCTCAATCTTGTTCAATCTAAAATTAGAGTAATTTATACCCTTAATCGACTTGTCCCTATTTCCAATGTGCTAAAGAGTGAAAACTAACTCCTTAAGAGTGAATTTTCAATCGCTGGAATTTAGAGAGTGCCTCTAGTGAATCTTAAGCGATGGAAAGTGGGACTGCAACTCATCCAATCCGTGAAAACTGTTGTTGTCAGAAAGGGCCAAGTCAGTCAGATTGGGCATGACACATGCAGTCGCGGCAATGCACTCAATGTCTGTCGGTGTTAATGAGCAATGGTTTAGGTCCAACGTCTTTATGTTCGTAAATTCAAACAAATTCTTGGACCACATTTCAGCCGATCCCCCTAACGATGTGTTGCCGGCAAGGATCAACTTAGTTATTTCGGGAAAGTGGTCTAACAAAATGGAAATCGCACCAACATCTTTCCACGTTAGTAAGAATTTTCTCAGGTCCAGCGTGTGTTGTTTCCTTACTCTTAACAGACAACGGGACCACTTCTCAGTCGATGCGCCAAGCGCCGGATTGTCAGTGAGGATTAAGTCAGTCAGTCTGGCCTCGCCGCTATCAAAGCCAAACAGGTCCTCTAAATCATAGGGGTTGGATACAGCCGAGGCAATGTCTTCAATGTCTGTCCATTGCAATGTACAACTGCTCAGGTTCAACGTAGTTAAGTTTCTAATTCGCAACAAACTCTTGATCCACATGTCAGCTGATCCACCCAACGCTGTGTTGCCGGCAAGGATCAAGTTAGTAAGGCTTGACATGTCACCTACAGCCGAGGCAATGTGTTTAATGTCTGTCTTTCGCAATGTACAATTGCTCAAGTTCAACGTCTGTATGTTCGTAAGTCGGGACAAATTATTGACCCACAACTTAGTCGATCCCCCTAACACTGTGTTGCCGGCAAGGATCAAGTTAGTTAGTGCGGGAATATTGTCTAACACAACGGAGATTGTATCAACATCTTCCAACGTTAGTGAGAAATGTCTCAGGTCCAGCGTGTGCTTTTGTTTCACTCTTAACAAGTAACGGGACCACTTCTCAGTCGATACGCCAAGTGCTGGGTTGCCAGTGAGGATCAAGTCAGTCAGTTTGGGCATGTCACCTACAACCGAGGCAATACGTTGAATGTCTGTCCATTGCAATGCACAATTGCTCAGGTTCAACGTCTGTATGTTCGTAAATCGCGACACATGCTTGGCCCACCATTTAGCCGATCTGCCCAACGCTGTGTTGCCAGCAAGGATCAAGTTAGTGAGACTGGGCATTGCAGCAGAGGCAATGTGTTCAATGCCAGTCCCTTGCAATGTACAATTGCTCAGGTTCAACGTCTTTATGTTCGTAAGTCGCGACAATCTCTTGGCCTCCAACTCAGCCGATCCCCCTAACGATGTGTTGCCGGAAAGGATCAAGTTGGTCAGTTTGGGAATACTGTCTAACACAACGAAAATTGTGCCAACATCTTCCCACGTTAGTGAGAAATTGCTCAGGTCCAGCGTGTGTTTTTGCTTCACTCTTAACAAATAACGGGACCACTTCTCAGTCCATGCGCCAAGTGCCGGGTTGTCAGCGAGGACCAAGTCAGTAAGTCTGGGCATGTCACCTACAGCCGGGGCAATGTGTTCAATGTCTGTCCATCGCAATGTACAATTGCTCAGGTTCAGCGTCTTTATGTTCGTAAATCGCGTCAAATGATTGGCCCACATCTCAGCCGATCCGCCCAACGCTGTGTTGCCGGAAAGGATCAAGTTGGTCAGTTTGGGAATACTGTCTAACACAACGGAAATTGTGCCAACATCTTCCCACGTTAGTGAGAAATTGCTCAGGTCCAGCGTGTGTTTTTGCGTCACTCTTACCAAGTAACGGGACAACTTATCAGTCGATACGCCAAGTGCCGGGTTGCCAGTGAGGATCAAGTTTGTCACGCTTGGCATGTCACCTACAGCCGAGGCAATGAGTTCGATGTCTGTCCATCGCAATGTACAATTGCTCAGGTTCAGCGTCTTTATGTTCGTAAATCGCGTCAAATGATTGGCCCACATCTCAGCCGATCCGCCCAACGCTGTGTTGCCGGAAAGGATCAAGTTGGTCAGTTTGGGAATACTGTCTAACACAACGGAAATTGTGCCAACATCTTCCCACGTTAGTGAGAAATTGCTCAGGTCCAGCGTGTGTTTTTGCTTCACTCTTAACAAATAACGGGACCACTTCTCAGTCGATGCGCCAAGTGCCGGGTTGTCAGTGAGGATCAAGTCAGTCAGTCTGGGCATATCACCTACAGCCGAGGCAATGTGTTCAATGTCTGTCCATTGCAATGTACAATTGCTCAGGTTCAACGTCTGTATGTTCGTAAATCGCGACAAATGATTGGCCCACAACTCAACCGATTTGCCCAACGCTGTGTTGCCAGCCAGGTTCAAGTCAGTCAGGTTTGGTATGTCAGTTGCAGCAGAGGCAATGTGTTCAATGTCTGTAATCTGAAGGTTGCAGTCACTTATTTCAAGTCTGTTGAGGCTTGTAAAGTGTTTAATATGAGGGGCCCATTCTTTAGCTCTACCACCCAATGTATTGCCACCCTTTATGCAAAGATCAATCAAGGGAAGGCATTTCAGTGACAAGAGGGTTTTCTCAAGATCACCGTTCACTAAAGGACAACTGTAGAGCCTCAGATTCCTGAGGTTTTCCATGTAACCCAGAACGAAGGCTAAATCACTGACCGAAGACACCGAAGAGACCTCAATAGTTTCAACGCGTGCCAGTTGTGCCATGCGGCTTTCTGACTTACAGATTATTTCAAGAAGGTACATAAGACTGCGGAAGTCATTAGTGTTATGCGCATCGATAGTTGATGGGATATGCGAGTCGCTGGTGAGACACCGTGGGGCCTTGCTTGACTGGCTTTCAAAAAAGCAGTTTCGACTAATCGCTTGTACTACATCTGATTGGTACTTGGGCTCATACTTATTAAACTTACTGTCAAGCAAGTTTACGATGTCCGTCATACATTTCTCATTGTCACCGCAACAAAAACGAAAGAGAAACTCATTTGAAACGACTCCCTCAATTGTCTGACAAAGTTGCCTTAAATTGTATGTAAATTCTCCGAGTGGTACAACTGTGTACACCCAACGCATTACGAATCCCTGGTTAGTCCTATGTACACTCTGCAAGTATTTCGCTGCAAAGTATTCCTGCATAGTCTTGTGCGTGAATTGTATGTTATTGTGAGATTTGCAGTTTTTGATAACTCTCTGCTTGGTTAGGATACCCGCTTTTAGAGCCAGGTCCAGTGCCCTCGGTTCAAACTCATCTTCTTGGAATGAGAATTTCTGGTTGGCACTCATGAGTCCAAGCAGCGCAGTTTGTCCTATGGAAATCACTGTTTTTGAAACGTCTTCTCCAGAGATACGTTTTCTTGTGAACATATGATCAACTGCAGCATTGAATAGGCGTGAAGTTGTTTCTGGAAGTTGTTTATTCTCCCTCCACAATAAGCACATAAGAAGTAGGAACAACGGATTTGTTGCAAAACCACGCTGCGTGTTGGACTTTTCAATGGTTTGGATTAGTGCATTGCGACTATCAGGATCTTTGTCAAAGAATTTCTTTACGTATTCATGAACATCCTCGTCGGTAAACCCCAGAACCTCTACGTGTGTGCAAGGATTTTGGACAAGTGTTTCTGACATCAGTGTCTCAAGACGAGAGGGGCGGCTTGAGACACAGATGAAACATTCCTGGTATACTGTTCTATTGAGTGCTTTTAGGATAGAACCGAACAAGGCTGCATCAAGTTTTTTGGTCTTCATTTCATCAAAACCATCCAAAAGAATCAAGACCTCATTTGGGTTGGCCAGGATGAATTTATCAAGCTCATCTTTTTCAATTCCTGACTTTTCTCCTAGTAGTTGATCAAAAGTGGAATCAACAAGATCGGATTCTTGCGACAGAGCACACATCTTTAAAAGAAAGACAAGCTTAAACCTCTTCAAGATTTCGCTTGTTTCATCGGCCCAGTCATATGCAATCTTATCAAAAATGGTTGACTTCCCGACACCTCCCATGCCAAAGAAAATGAGGCGTTTTATTAGTTCCTCGGTTTTTGTCCTTAATGTCCTTAATCTGAATATTTTGGCATACTCTGTTGAGTTTACAGTTTCTCCTTTCTGGCCGGTGACAACTGCTACCCCTTCCCGTGTTTCTAACTGTACTTTAGTGTATATACCAGGTATGTGCATTTTGTCATTATCAACCCCAGGCAACAACTGCACGTAACTGCCTGTTGTTGTATAAACTCTCTTCAAAATGTCCCTAGTCTTGTTACCAGTTTCTTGGTAGGGATCTCCCACTCTTGGTTCTTGGTCTGGTCGCTGGCTTTGCTGAGGTCTGGGTGCAGGCACTCCTATTCAGATCAAAACAAAGAACGTGCATCGCTTCAATAAAACATTGTTTCTGAAACGGATTTAATAGTTTTCATCTATGGGGGAAATCATGTCAGTATATAGAAAGTGATGACCTGTGATTTCCGGTGCGTTAGTAAAGCAGAGCACAAAATAAATTTGACAAAACAAGGAGAAATATTCCGGCTTTTGCCCAATTGTTGGACGCACCCTTGCAAAATTGTGTCTTAGAGTACATGTACTTTTTGACGCGGACACAATTAAATTCAGGCAAAAAGCTGGCAACTGAAAAAAAGTTGATTGGACATCACTATCCCAAGAATAGAAATAATCTTCTTGTGGTAATCACTACACTCCAAATAAGCCATATCTGGGTCCTTCAATTCTGATAAAAGATAAGCCGAAGTCAATCAAAAATTACATTAATTAGAATGACATTCAAAAATCGGCTTTGCCTTGCAACCCACAATGATTATTCCGTTTGTTTTCCAACAGCCCATTAATCCATTCATTTATGCATAAATGCAAAATAGTGTAATATTAGCCCTTTTTAGTATATGGCAGAAACACGTTTACAGATATGCACAATGAGCAAATCATATACATGTACACTCCAAAAACTCCCGGGTCAGATTGGACCCGAATCCGAGTCACATTTGACCTGACACTTTTCTTAGTGAAAAATATATACACTTATTTGTCGCCTTCCAGGACATTTGACCCCAGGTAATTGTCATTTGACCAAGAAAGTGTCATTGAGACCCAGAAGCGTGTCAGGTCAAATCTCACCCGGGACTTATAAAAGTGCAAGTTCGACTTTGACGACAAACCACTTGTGTCATTATGTAGAAGGGGAACAGATTTGACCTAACATTTTTGTCATGTTGACATAGATAATTGTTATTTTTGTCATACAAAATGTATTACATGTATTACGCATACAAAGCACAGATACATGTATTTACAATGTATGAAGGTAACCGCTTTCTTTAATTCCTCTTCACATTATGCATGCTACGAGCAAAGACATGCATTTACCTTGCAGGAATCCGACAATATCTGCTCTTCCGATCTTCTCCAATGCTGTGCACAATGTGGTCCTCTGCTGTTCATCACTGGTGGACTGGGCCTGTTTCCATGTTACAAGCATATCGAGACCTTGCCTTGTGATATCGTTTTGGTGATTTCTCTCAATAGTCTGAACCTGTACCATCGTAAAGTCCAGCTCAACTGCCAGTGCGACCCAAGCACAACCGAGCCTCTTAGCGACCTCCCTCAGAGTTCTGTCATCTAAAGGTGGTTCTGTAAAAATATAAGCAATAGGCATATTAAGTAATACTATGGATAACCCACCCCCCATATTATAGGCCAACACATAATAACCAGAGCTACCGGGATTGTTTGCTGCCAAATAAGTGACTTTAACTGTTTTCCTGCCAATTATAAGATGCAAAAACATTTAATCCGTAGCAAAATCACACAGTGTGTTAGACTTTCCAATAGTTTTGGTTTAGTGCATTGACATCACGATAAGGACCTTCGCGGTCAAATTTTCTAATTTATCCATTGACATCCTCATCAGTAAACCCCAAAAGCTTTACGTGTGTGCAAGGATTTTTGACGAGTGATTTTGATATCAGTGTCTTAAGATAGAAGAGGGGGTGGGTTGATACAAAGATGAAACATTGATAGTATTCTTTTCCATTGTGTGTGTGTTTTTTTTTTAGAATAGAGCCAAATGAGCTCATTGAGTTTTTGGTCCTCATTTCATGTAAACTATCCGAAAGAATCAAGACCTCATTTGGGTTGGCCAAGATGAACTGATCAAGCTCAATGTTTGTCATTCCTGAATCTTTATCTAGAATGTGATCGAAAGAATCATTAAGGGCAAACAAAAATTAAAATACTTGGTCTCTGGTCAGCGTGCGCGTCGATTTTAATCATGCCCATCAACCTTTTTTCTTCAAATTAACACGGAAGCTACAACAGCGCCCTCTATTGCCGCACCTCCTCACATTTTTGTACCAATGAGCATCAAGGAATGGGAAAATTGCACCAGGGTAAATGATAAAGGGCACCAAGGCAAATGATGGAGGACACCAATGTATAATGAGGACACAAAAAAGCACAAGCTTGAAAAAAAAAACATTTGATATAAAATTGCTTTTATTTTAACAAACAAGATTATATTTACCTTGTCCCTCCATCTGGTAGTTGATAATAGTGAAATTCACTCCAGTTGCACCAACAATGGTAGGGATGTTGCTCCCGCTGACTAAGCCGATGTTTGCAATGGTTCCAGTTGGTTGTTTGAGATCTACAAGCAGAAGCAAAAAGTAAAATATCCTTTATAAAAAACCGCCGATAAAATGATTTGTCCATCTGCAATTGTCGTCTGTACTTGGGAAACAATGCTTTAAAGGGAATATACAACATTTCCAAACAGAACTACCAAATTATTATGAAATACTTTACTGGACTGTTAGTGAATGACAGTCTAAAGCATCCTGTAAAATCATGGCACCTATGTCCAATTTCATGGCGCTGCTTACCGCTAAGCACATTTTTGTGCTAATCATAGCACAAAAACTTGCTGACCTTAAGTATTATATAACTGACATACAGATCCTAGTCATTTGATTGGTGGAACTCACATCACATGGCATTCGTTATTGCTCCCATTCACGCCGCGGCTCAAAAAGTACTATCCGCCCATGGGGAATGGGAAATACTATTCAACAGTTAGGATCATGACGCGGTATTTGTGTGCAAATGCATGCTGGTGTGCGCGTTCAGCGTTGCGCGTAGCGCGTATTGTTCAAAGAGCCAGCGCTACAGCGTTAGGTTCAAACATTTTCGTGATGGGGTGGTTTGGAAGAGAGAGATAGATTTTCCTTCAGTTTGTATTGAAAAAAAAGGTTCAAATATATCAAATGACAAGGATCTATATGTCAGTTATATAAAACAAATATTGAGTGGCTTTAAATTGTGAAATGGGAGGAATATTATCGCTCGGTAAAATCTGGACTTTTCCAGTTCACTCGGCTTCGCCTCGTGAAATGGAAAAGTCCAGATTTTACCTCGCGATAATATTCCTCCCATTCCACGCTGAGCCACTCAATATTTGTATACTATTTCACGGCGTGTATGTGCTAACGGTCGCGCGCGCATCATCGTTTTCCATTGTTACGTCACCATAGTTGAGCATTTTTTTCTCTGAGGTAAACATGCCTTTTGCTGCGCTTACTGCCTACGGTCTCCATGAAATAGACAGCGGCTATGTAAGCATAAAATTGTGTGCTTAGCAGCGCCATGAAAATGGCCCCTGTTGTGCTGACATTTTAAAAAAAAGTGGTACTTTTGTATCAATTTTGCACGCTGGTTGGCCGACCAGCATTAAAAAAAAACCTGGATTTTTTTTTTCAAATACTGCACCCAATTTTCAATTAGTCTGAATTTTGTTTGCAATCGATTACACACCTATGCAGGATTACAAGCTAGCTAGACTGGTTCCCTGACCTCAAAATTCCCCAACGTCTATACATTGCTACATTTCAATTCAAGTGGGGTCAGGGAACCAGACTAGGACACTCGGGGTTTTCTTGTTTTTCCCCAGAGCATTTACGATGAAAAAGGATCCAGTGTAACAATATTTGCTTTAATTTCCCCCCCCCAAAAAAAATTAAATCCATTTCACAAAATTACAGTAAAAGCAAATATGGTGTATATTTCCTTTAAAAGAAAACATTATTTTATTTTACCAATCAAAGGAAAACAAGTATGTTTTACATGAAAAACCAAGCTATGACACCCCCAACAAAAACAGTTCAGGAGATCGGTGAGGGGAGGCAGAATGTGGTAAACGCCCCTCCACACCCCAGTACGGTTTTAATTGACTCCAAACAAGTGGTCTAGCTTCACCTGTTGCTGCAGAGGGGGCGGGAGCGTCGTGCTAAGGACATCAGTCCGTTGGCAGGCTAGTTCAAATTGTTGCATCAATGGTACTTTGGATCACCAAACCACAAACGGAAGAGTCCTGTTTGTAAATCATTAATAATAAAAATCAAATATTTGTTCGTCGGTATAGTCTGAAAATTGGGACTCTCAATAAACCTGAGTATCATTCGCATTGCATCACGGGTTTGGATAACAAACAACCCAGGCAGTTAATACGAACAAACCTACGAGGCAGTGAACCAGTCATGCTTTAGATTAATTTGTTTATTTTCAATTCTTTTTTCAAAATTAGCTGATCATCAATTCTCATACATAAGTGTACAATAAAATGAGCAACATATAGTGTATTTAAAATTCAGTTTTTAACTTTAGAAATATATGAAAGAATAGATAATCTTGAAATTTACTTCCAGGTACTTAGTCATTAGGCGCAGTGCAACAACTGTGAATGGTCAATGTAGAGGCGTGAACTGGCTATCTTAATTATGATTGGTTGATATTCGCGGGTACTAGTCATAAGGCCCAGTTGAACAACTGTGATTGGTCAGTGTAGATGCGTGAGCTTGGCATCTTGATTATGATTGGTTGATATTCGCGGGTACCAGGCATTAGGCCCAGTGGAACAATTGTGATAAGTCAGTGTAGAGGCGTGTGCTGGACATCTTGATTATGATTGGTTGATATTGGTGGGTCATCATATACTCTTGATGTACCCTAATGTGGTGCCGCCCCTGACGTGGCGCACTTTGACTTTTCGCCAGTAGCGCCTAGCTACAGCAAAAGTTTAACCTTAAATTTAACAGTAAGAAAAATTTCATCAAGCTCTAAACGCTCCCGTTCATCAATCGTGAGTTTTTCTACCCGTTACAAAGTAAGCAGAGACATTTTGGCGTGAGTTTCTGATTTTATTTCGAAGTGCACAGTGAACCGTTTGAAAATGCACCCAGAAATAAGATTTCTGACAATCTTCTAACATGTGAGTATGAATGTATGTATGTAAGTAGAAAAAATAATGGTTTAGTAGAATTTATCAACCTGAAAAAAAACCTTAAATGTTAACTTGGCATTTTCCGAGGTTTATTCAAGTGCGCCAAGTAAATTTTCCGACATTGTTCACAAATTGCAAACTTTAGTATTCAAAGGTAAAAGTACCAGTATTTAACTGAATGAACTTTTAATTTGTCAACAAAGACGTCGAAGTGCACTACGTCAGGGAGCCACCACAGGTTTCCCTGGCGTTTTTTAAACACACATTTTTCTTTCAAATTCACTCACTCAAACAATCAATTTTGCAATTGTAATAATATTTATATTCTGTATGGTAAGGTGACTGAACTCGATACATTGCTTTCATTTGGACTATACATGTAGTGCACCCTTTTGTTAAGTTTTCATAAAATCCCCCTATAAAAATATCATTCTTTAAAAAAAACCCATCAGATTTCCCACTACATTGAGCAACATTGCTCCAACATTTTCCCTTTGGGCTCACGATATCAGTCAATGGAGTTTGAGATAATAACATCTGGATCCTGGATACAACATTCGGGTCTGTATATGAGGTCTCGATACAGGCATGCGCATGGCAAATCACATCACATCAAAATACTTTTTTTTTTTCTCAATCGTACTTGTTATGCTCGGGTTTCAACAAAGACATTAGGACTGAGACTCAACGTAGTTGATTTTAAAAAATCATGAAAAAAGAAAAGAAATAGTGGTTCATACGGTTTAAATAGGATCCTTGCAAGCTACATGCAGTAAAGCAATGAACCAGAGCTCTGCCTGTGGCCTTGGGTTTGTGGCTTTGATAGCACACCTTTTCACTGTTATTTCGGTTGTGTAAAAATCAAACGGTTGTGTACTATATGAACCTGCTAGGTTCATATAATACACGACCGAAATAACAGTGTATGGAATACAAACGCACTTATTATGCAAAATGGCCATCAGAAAAGATCAACATCACAAACTTCTCATAGGTTGCTGCACAAGCATAATGCACCTATAGCCGGTGTCGAGTGTTGTATTTTAGCAAAGCAAAACAAGTTTGGCGAACGACGTGTATGCAACAAAGGCACTAGGAGTGGGTAGCAGGGTTAAACATGTAAATACATGGAGTTCAATGGCGGATTTTTGAGTACGGTGTGTATACACAGTACCTGTGATATCTGCGTCCGTTCCATTCACTGCAGGGAAGCCATTTTGTAAAATAAAATACAGTTTGATACATTGCAATGACGCTGTTAATTACTTTTTTAATTACAATGTGCTACAGCAGGGGCGGAGCCACAAATCGGATGGGGGAAAACGTTTTTAGTCAAACATTGTGGCGTCTGAATTTTTTTGAAAGAGTGCATCAAGGGGACGAGACACCGTTCTTTGAAAATCACTCCAAGATTAGATTGAAATACTCAAAGGAAAAGGAAAGAATAATCCTACAAATGATGGTAATTATTTTCTTGCAGATGGTATTTTCTTTAAAGTAATAAAATCAAGAGTTTTCGACCTGTGTGGTTCACGGTCTTTTAAAGAGGCAGTGATACACACTTCCAAAAATAACAAATTATATAGTGCAGTGAAAACAAGGTTATGATGGGCTAATAATAGCGACTAATTAGTGTTCGACTGAAACCTCTACTAAAATGTGGTGTGCCTAGACGAATGATCTCTTAGATTATGCACTTAACTTGTGAGTTTGACTCCATGTGTGTGTACACTGAATGTCACATTGCCATATCAACATCTCTAGAAGCGTTGCAAAATAGCGCGAAAAGTGAAGATTTCCATTCAGCAGCTTATGGTAGCGGAAAGAATTCCATACAAGGCCGCCACTCAGACCTCCCGGACAAAGTCTATGGGCCATGAGAGAAAAGGTTATAGTATTATCCAAGAATTTTTGCACTTCAAAAATAGTGTGTCTTCACCAGATCTGTGGTGCCCTTGTATGGAATTCTTTCCATGGCATCACTAATTACTGCATCAACACAACGATAGTTTATTAAGCTGTAGCTACTGTCGTGAGTTTTAATATGGCATGGGAAAAAAGTATAGTTTTGTTAAGCTTGAATAAATATGGTAGAATAAATAAAGCATACTTTCCGAGAGAAAATAAAAGATCATCTTTTGCCGTATGTGTTCTAGATTTGTCAATTCTGCTTACTTCGGACAGGTTTTAACATGGCATCAATAAACTGTGTCAAAACAAACATGAACATGTAGTTCCTAATCTCTGTGGCACATTTTCTCTATCAGTCATGCCACCAGACTACTGCTGGGCTCAGTCTCTTCAAACAGTTGGACATGAATACCAGGCTACGTTTAGGCTCCAAATCTAATCATTTTGCCTTTCAGGTGCAA